CTTAATGTGCTTCTTTAAAAAATGTGATCTTACTTTAGTTTTCCAACTTTGACAAGTAAATGGAAAAGTGGTACTAGAGAATGGTACTACCAGTATTGCTTAGTCTAAAGTGAAAAATAATATCATGAATAAATAATTTGAATACATATTTCAAGGCAAAAATTCCTTTCCAATTTATTCTAAAATTGTTACTTTTTCATCATCGCTATCTTATTAAGGAAGAACTTGAGTGTTTTCTCGACTTTTTTCGCAATTATGTAGTTGCTGAAGTTGGTTTTTACAGCATAATTGCCAAGATTTTAGAGTAATTAGTCATGGGAATCACATAGAGTTGCTAAATGCAAAGAAAGTTTTGATTTAAAATTTAGATTACATCCATAAATACCTACACCAGTTAATATTATATTCATTCCCACGGTACTATTTTTTTGTCTGAAATATCATTAATTATAAATTATCATTAATCAATCAAATAACAAAATACATTGTTTCATTAGCACTATATCAATTAAAACTCGTCAAACATTTTTAAAATAAAAGAATAGCAATTTATTATAAAATTCTACGGAAATGTATCTCTTGCTACCATCACCAAGTGTGTCATAAATTTCATGCTGTTCAACCGTCTTGCATGAGTGCCATAAATCTTTTGAATTGACTGTTGCTATATCTCGACAGACACGTTAAAATATACTGAACGGCGATAGCATAAGAAAATTAAATATTTGACGGGAACTGACTGACTGTATGTTGACAAAGAGATCGTCGTGCTTAGTTTTTATCAATTAAATCCGAGCAATAATAAATATCGGCGAAGACTTCCTGTCTTGCACATCCATCTTTAGAGCAAATAGGTTCACATTTTTAGTTATTTTTCATGTAAGAAAATTCAATTCATGTGGAGAAGTAGAAGTAACTTTGTAGCATCCTTTTCTATGCCTTGAACCCCTGCCCTCCTAGATGTTATTGAACAAATATACCTAATCTTCGAAGAATGTGATGAGTCTTCTATGATAGGTCATCATCATTAACTTTTTCCGTTGCCCTAAAGGTTTGTTCGATTCAAATAAAATAGTTGATCCATTGTGTAGCTTTTTCTTTCTGTTCCTAAAAATTAATAATGTATTTGGAGTAATCCAAAACCACAAGACAATTAAACTATTTCCCACGACGAATAGTTTTATAATAATGCAACCAACAAACAAAGCACCATCAAAATATTCAATGAGTTTTACGGTACAGCTTTTTCTTTCACCGTCAGTTTAAAACTCCTCAGTGGTTTCGATTTTAAGCAGCAAGAAGGCACAAAAAAAAAAACAAATTGGACGTAACCATAGGTGATTCACTTCGGGCGGTCAGCAGAAGATCGAAAAACCGGTAGTGAGCAAACGTTTCCACGAACCATATCTGGGAACCGTTTACGGCCGTCTGGAGCCCCCAAGTCAGAAAATAATTCGGTTATTTATTTTGGTTCTTCCTCTCTGGTCACGCTTCTTTTTCTCGCGGCCTAAAGTATGTTAATGACATCGGGGTTCTAAACAATGCTGAACGATGACGATGAAGTCTGATATGGTCTTTCAAATTTTTCTTTTGGGTACTTTCTTTTCAGAGAAATTGTTGTACTTTTTAAAATTCATTATCTCAATAAGGTGTATCAGTATATTCTTCTCTTTACAACTCCACAATAATATTGCATAAACGCGATGTTAACCAGATGACCCCATTTTTCTCAAAGCCATAAAATTGGCGTTTATTTTTTTAGGGTATCGAGTTACACAATAAAAAGAACTGTTGACAGATGAAATGTTTATTAACCGCGCTTTGGGTAGTACTTAAAATTTTATGTGCATTCTGAGGTAGGACCGCGTAAAATACAGTCATTAAAAATATAATAAGACAAATTAATTGGTTTGTAACAAGATGAAGCAACCTAACCAAAACATTTGGTATTATTTTTGCACCAGGTTGGAACAAACCCAATGAAGAATTTATTGATTTAACAAGGTCAGAAGTTACAGTTAGATATAAAGTGAATTGGTAACCTGAAAGAAAGTCTTGCACACAATAACCATCAATCCTTACCTATCAGTTCCAAAATCAATTTACGAGCGAAAATCAAGTTGTCTTGTCTATTTTTTTTTTAAATTAAATCAAACCCAGCAAGCATTTAATTAAACTTTAACTTATTACCCACATAAGCCGTTTTGTTTCGACTAAGGCAGATCGGTTCTGATAGTTACCCGTCGTCCCAGTTTGGCAACGTTGCTCCACATATTCGAACCATACATCTTTTTATTCTTATCGTAATTCCTGATCGACTTGTTAGGAAATAAGTCTTTGTTGTTTAGAGACGTCGGAAGAATAGATGTTGCGTGTTTATACAACCTGCTGTTCACTCTTGGAGATGAAAGAGGTTGATGTTCTAATTATGCGTTTCTCTTGTGAATGAATGTGTTGTTGTGTTGGTTTTGAATCTTTTTTTTGTAGGTTCTTTGCATTGAGAATTCTATATTGTCATTTATGGACCACATAGAAATAAGAGTCATAATTGGTAGAGCCGAAAATTGATTCAGTGGATCTATGTAGTCTACGTACGCAGTCTAACCAAAGCTCTGGTTGAATCGGCATCTTTGCTTGGAAATTCTTCTGAGGACTGCCACCCTATCATGACTGAATTCAGTCGAGCTTTAGATGACATCATTCAACAAATATCCAAACTCTTATCTGTGGATATCATCGATAAAAGCAACTCTCCATGGAGAACACAAATATCTGGTATAAATGAAAACCAAAAGAATGAAGTATTATCTCTGGACAATCAATAAGTTTTCTCATTCAGGTGCATACTCCTTACCCAAGTATCTCAATTAGCATAGCGAAATATGGAAAATTCTGTATAATCGATCTCTGAAGAGCTTATGATAAGATATAAAACTTAGAAAAGAAAAGAAAATATTAAGCATGTAGAGCAGATGGCGAGATGTACCACTTCTAACAAATTCCATCAGTAAATGAGTTTTCACGATTTCTTTTCGCTTTCTTTTGTCTGAAAATCACACCATGATCCAACATCTTCATCAGGAATATTTACAATGTTTGGAATGTCATCTTATATTCACATTTCGACGAAAGGTCTATACTACTCACTAAGGGGCCTACCTATGGGGCTATTGTTTCGGATCCTAAAGCCGAACAGACTTTTATTAGCCGGAAACTAGACAACGTTCAAGGAATGACATGCCTCAACATAACTGGCGCAATGAAAACCACACCAACACCAATTCTGAGAAGTGGAAAGATACATCTTAATTATTGGACAAAACATCAATTTGACTTTGAAAACAAGCAAACCCAAGACCGGCCCGGCCCCACTTCTTTTAATTCTACACTTCACGTCAAAATGTTTCATCGTCAAAGGAAAAGTACCTACTTTTGCAAACTTTATCTCTACGTCTCCTCTATATCCAAGACGAATTTGCTCTTATCAAACACCAAAATAGCAGAGTCACAGCTCCTCAATCTGATACATATTTGGAATCTGAATTTCATTGTTTGAAACCTTCTTATACTGAAATAGCCTCGGAAAGTCGGAGTTCTGAAGATGTTACATACTCTCAACTGCTTCCTCTGAAAAATCGTGATGCCACATAACCATCCAATAGCCAAGAGCTTCTTGTGGAACGTCAAAGTAAAAAAATCTGACAAAAGATGAAAATTCGCCTTGGAGATAAATACTTAGAAAACTTTCTTCAAAACTAAGATCGGGATAATTTGATGAATCCAATGGTATTTATACCAGTTCACCTTTTTTGTTTGATTCATTGTTATACATTATTGTCATTCATATAACATAATGTCCGTCGATTTTAATCTCATACTCCAAAGGAATGTAAGCTCGTGGCTCCTTACGTTCGAACGCCAAAGGTCACTTGACGTCACACCTGTTTCTGCCATATGTTTCACCCCCTCGGTCATACGGAAAGTGTCAGATTAAAAACGACGGACAGCACAGCCATAAAGTAAATACCAATCCACAGAAAGATATGAAGGACAAAAATGCAAAAGAAATAAAGAAAAAATTCGAGCTTGGCGACATTTTGAATAAACTGCGGAAGGAATAGGAAGAAAATGTGAAGAATAAATAAAAGAATAAACATAGGAATAAACATAAAAACAAAAAACTATGGCGATAAAAGAAATAAAAGAGTAATTGAAAATAAATAAGGGGCGAAAAAAAAAAAAAAATTGAAAAAACAAAGAGAAAAGAAAAAAAAGGAAAAGTTGTAGGACAAATAGCATGGAAAAAAGTGAAAGTAAGAAGCATAATTCATTATTTTACAGAGTTATAATGTCTTCCAGTGATGGAGTGAGAAAAAGTTAAAGAAAAACTCAAGAAGCAAGCTTGGAGAAATATAAGGAGCAGGAGATGACAAAATGAATAGGCAGAATATTTCAAGAACTATCAGGATTAAAACATTGGAAGTTTCCAAAAAAGAAGATTCGAGAGGAATAAACATAAAAAAAAACTATAGTGCAGCTGAAATAACAAGCTAAATATTGGTGGGGATGTTGAGTATAATGTTCTGAATGATATCCCAAAAAATTCATGTTGGGGAAAATCCGCCATTTTGAAAAAATCACCGCAATCTTGGATTTGTCAAGTTTTAAGCATAGTGACTGAAGCTATCATCATATTTTATCCGTTTTTGCATCAAATTACTTTATTTGTGCTGTTAAAATACTAAAATTATTAAACATAGAACAATTTTGATGCTCGAAAAAGAATAAGGCGGAATAGAGGTCATAAGGCAGAAATAAAACTACATTATTAGGGAAAAAAATTAGATAGCTTGTTTCGTGGTATCGGACTAGAACTCGACTGACTATTCATTGACTGGCGAGTCTCGTCTCAAACGGTGAATAATGCATGATGATCTGAAAAATTATAACCGGTTTCTTCAGCGTCAATTCAATAAAATAGTGTTCTTCAAATTTTGTAGCTATTTGATTAGCACATCAGCCAAAGGTTCAACGTCGTCATCGATATCCAAGTCAGCGTAGTCCATACGATTTGTACAGCCATGACCTGCACAGTAGCCGCACATATTTGTACAATTCAAACCGTTTCTTCTGCAACCGCATCTATTGTCGCACCCAGATTTACAATTGCAGGATATGATGTTGAGTACCCGTTCCGGTGCTGGTTCTTTTGTAGTTGGAATGGGTTTTAGCTGACCTGCATGCGAAATCCATCCCCATTCTGCCTCCGGCAAGCGATTACCCTTCCATACTTACACGTAAAATTTATAAGGCGTATCAGTTCCAAGACGCCGGTGGTAACCAAATGATAGACAATTTGTTCCTTACCTGGTGATAAACTCGATATAAGTGTTGTTTGGCCGCTGCAGATGTAGGCGGAAGTGTAGCTACGTCAAAGGTCGTTGTGACTGACTGTTTGGTACCTATCCTCTGGTAGAACCGATATCTGACGTTGTTCAAGTTGCGTTCATCTCCACAGCCGTACAATGCAAGAAGAAAGCGTTCGCCTGCAACCGCAATATCCTAGTGCGTAGCATTCGATAAGTTAAAGACGGATACTATCGCCGTGAACTTCTCAAAAGATCCCTTTTTGCCTTTTCTAAACGGAACAGAAGTGGTATTACATGGAAAAACAACAGATAGTTACGGAGATCTCCAAGAGCCGCGATTAGCTCTTCACTACTAAAGACCCGGGCTTCTGCATCCTTTCTTCCCGGCATCAGCATGTGGACCAGGGCTGGATAAAGCTGCTATTAGGACTAAAAAATTGGTGTCCTCCCTTACTATCACTGACACCGCTGAGCTTGGTATGTTCTTCATCCTTGGTGCTCGGAGATTCGTAACCGTCGAAAACCATAGTAGCATTTTGCCCGAAGTGATTTTCCACGTACGTCATATACTGGAGGCAGATTTTGCTGACATTTGCTGGACACGCCCACACAAACCTGTGTAAAAGGAACCCGCCATCGACTGTAAGCTCTGTGTTCACTGAAAAGTTGTTCACAGGTGGTGCTATTTCTTCTAAAACATCTATCGATCCAGACTTAGTGCCTCTACGCATCAACGTCCAGTCAAACAGCGATGGAGGTTTTGCTGCAAGTTCATTTCTCAAGTACTTCTTGAGGTCATCATCGTCACGCACAACACATAGCAATGGGTGAAATAGTTGGTTGGGGTTGATTTCGACGACACTGTCTTTGATCGTAGCTGTTATAGACGCTGTGACGAAAGTCGTTACTTTGTTGTTTCATTTCAAGTGAACGTTACTAAATTTTTGCCTTGTGATTGATTTCATTGCTTGCAAACCATGTAAGAGAGCTTCATCACAGTTTACTGTATCGTCGGCTACTAGACCGGTAGACACTGGATGGTTCGTTGAGTAGTTGAAAGGATGATGTGACTGGAGCCAGTTTACCATCTTGCTAACGTCTGCCTTATCTCTCATTTGCCGTGACTCTCTTAGCTCCACATGCTGGTTGGAGGTTTCGGCAGAGACTCCACAAAACATGTCAGTAGCGTCTATTACATTTATAGATGAAGACATGGCACATACCCATAGACCAATAACGTTATCCGTTAATCCACGTTCACGTGTGAGTCTATATGCCTGACCAGGACTTTCCAGTTCTCCTGACAGTAAAGCAGCCTTCTTTGACAAATTGACGGAACTCCAATGGAGTCATAACATCTTTGAGCTTCTGCATTTATTGTAGGTACATGTGAGTACATTTTGCATAGTTAAGATGTCCCGCAGAGTGGAAAAACGGAATTATTCTTTGGACACACAGTAAGTGAAGAACCCAATATCCGGAACGATCAGCTCTGACAAACAGACGCATGTTACCAACCATCTCAAAGTAATGCACCCAAAACTTCACAGTGCAACGAGGCCTTTTAGTTTAGCGTCAAACATATCTGCTGACTGAGCGACGTACTCTGTCAACAACAGACTATCTACAGAAATCTTTCCAAAGTGGAGGTCTGAGTGTATTTGTTTTAAGTTATCGCTTAGTGTCGACATCTTCTATATCCTGAATGATCTAGATTGCCAACGACAGCTGCGTCAGAAAATGTGCGCGGAGAGCTCGCGCGTAGGCATGGCCGTTTACCATATAGGTCATCGTGTTCTTTGCGTACACCTTCCTCCACAATTCTTCCAGGCCACTACCTGTCATGATGGTTCCCACAGCGTCCATAAACGACATCAGCATGTGAAAGCCACCGAGGCGCAAAACAATACACGACAACGGGCTCTCATCTCCAGCTGCAAGAACTATGTCCAGCGCCTTCGCGTAGAGAGGTTGATCAAAAATCACCACGCACGTCGACTGCTGCGCCTTTCTGCACATGTCCACGGCGAATAGAAGAGAGGTGTAAATCATAGTAGGATTCGAAGGCGAACGGAAATGGAAACATTTCAGCGTTCTTGAACTCTTCTTTAGATGTTACAGTGTCCATAAATCATTCCAGCCAGGCCCTGGAGTTTCTTGGAGCTGATATCCCTAAATCCACCCACATCATATCAATGAGATTGGCTTCCTTGGCTGAGGCAGGTTCTGGAAGAGCAGCGCTAACGTCTTCCGTAACGATAAGTGCTGTACCGATTCTGGATTTTCCATAAGGTACCAACTCGATTGTACCTAGGAGACCTTAACCTGTGCTGTCTGCTGGAAGTGATTGGTTAGTTCTTGAAATAGGATCGCTTGCTTTAATGGCTTGTAAAGGCGTTATGCATCTTATCCCTCCCATGCACATCTTAAGTCCTCACGTTGTGGTCAGCATTGTCGAATACAAACTGTACAAATGCATCTTTGTACACTGATGAATCAGCGTTCTTTTCAACTGTATCCTCAAAACGAATCGTTTCCGAGTAAGTCGCACATACACCAAGTTTAGAAAGCATATCAAGTAACAGCCGCGAGCCATATCGTCGATGAAGGCTGATTCCTAATACAATTTTAAGGGAGAAACGAACGAACATGGTCGGGCAGCAGCAACTATCGAATGTGCGATTGTTGTAGCTTTTCTTTTTATAAGGGTGTCTTCATTGAATGATTTGCGAGTTTGAAGAACAGTTTTCAGAAAACGTTGTAGAAATTTGTTCTGCTGTTGGATAAGTTAACACAGTCATAAACTTGGGACCGTATTTCTTGGCGGATGATTTTCGCCGAAGTTTCCACAATTCTCATCTTTTCTTCTCTTTTATCGTTCTTCCTCTCTCTGTACCACGCTTCATTAATAACCTCATTAGCTTTCCCTGTGAAACAGACGATCCTACTTTTTCTAATTTGCTCGGTAATGATGATAGTTTCCCCGTAAAAATTATGTAGTTTTTTCTTCAGATTCTTTTTACTATACGGTTCCTCTTCAGGGCAGGTGTTTGTCATAAAGGCCATAAGTTCCCAGAACATGTGCTGGCACTCTTCATCGCTCTCAAGGTAATCACAAAGCTTCTGACACCCCCTTAGCTTGCCTTGGTTTTCAAAGCGTCCACCACAACATGACGATTTACCTGAAGAGGCCCTTGAAAACGGTTTTGGTTGGTAGGAACGTCGACGCGAACCTATTCGGCAAAACGTCGCGTAGCATCAGCAGCCACTAGATCGTTCTCGGTGCATAGTCTTCAAGAAACTTCTTTGCCCCATGAAACCAGCTCGGTTTGCAGCTATTGCACGTATAGTATGTATACATTACAGACAATTATAAATGGTACTTGGCGACCTGGATGCTTTTCCTTCTCGCAAACGTCAATGTTCTGTCCACAAAACATGCATTTTCGTTTAAAATCAAACACGTCGTTCGCGCAGCTCAGGCAACTGCTTCGTTTCGGTTGTTGTGCACATTCACCGTCAAGGTACGGTTTGTTAGGATAGTACGCGACGCACAACTGGCAACGTAAACATCGTCATTGGTTCAGATATGACGTACACCCGTTTTCTGACGTCAGCGTCAGCGTCAGAAAACGCTGTACGTCATACCTGAACCAATGATGACGTTTACGTTGTCAGCTGTGCGTCGCGTACTATCCTAACAAACCGTACCTTTACCTTCAGTCTGTGTGAGTACGCGACGCGTGTAAGCTTTCCCACAACTCTCATGCACTTTATCATTTTTTTTTGCCCTCAAGTAACGCCGCAATGTCATCGTTTCTTTCCTTACTCATCCAGCGTGAAGTGTCTAGGGTCCTATTCACATCAACAATCTTACCACTTTCAAGACCTTCGCACAAAACGCACACGATGCTGTCCGACGTGGATTTTATAATAACAAAAAAAATAATTTTCACACAAAATTAGTTTGTACATAATGCAGTTTTCAGTCCTGAAATCCACCACTTCAAATATGTATTTCATACAGCCGGACAAATAAATAACACACGGCGCCATGCTACCGGTTCTTCACCATCACACACATCTATTTTTTTACGATATACAGCAACGTCGACTCACCAAGCGACAGCCGTAATATTGACATTTAAGTTGTAGAGGGCGCTACTGTACTTAGAGCTCGTTAAATTATGGCGCGTAAAAAGTTAAGTTAGACGTGTGGTGAAAGCAGAAATCTCGCGCCCTCTATAACTTAACTGTCAATATTACATGCGATTTCATTCGACCACAATGCATGCCGCTTAGCGCGGGTAATAACATACATACTCATTGTCGCGTCCTGTTTTTTGTCCTAAAATTAAATTTTAGCTCAGCATATTCTATTACAACTACTCATTATCTCCAAATCTATTAATGTTTTCAAGTATAATGGAGATTATAAAAAATTTGGAACAAAAATAAATAAAATCAGACCCTTGGTTCACTCGCTATGCTTAAAATTCGAATATTCCAACATGGAATCAGTTTTTTCCAGATAGCGGATTTACCCCAAGATGGATTTTTTGGGAATTTCGATATTTCAATAAAGACATTATCCCTAACAGTTTTACCAATTTTCAGCTTGTTATTTCAAATGTCCAGGTTAGGTCAAATTTTTGTCTTATTTGCCTACACTACTATGGCGATAAAAGAATAAAGAGTAATTGAAAATAAATAATGGGCGAAAGAAAATAAACAATTTGAAAAAACAAAGAGAAAAGGAAAAAAGGAAAAGTTGTAGGAAAAATAGCATGGGAAAAAATCGAAGTAAGAAGCATAATACATAATTTTACAGAGTAATAATGAGGTCTTGCAGTGATGGAGTGAGAGAAAGTGAAATAAAAACTTAGAAACAAGCTTGGAGAAATATAAGGAGCAGGAGATGACATAATGAATAAGCAGAACTATCAGGATTTAAACATTGGAAGTTTCCAAAAAGGAATATTTAGGAGAGACTAAATTTGACTGACTTTTGGACAGACAGGTTTCTTCAAATCGCTGCCCACCTCATTTGAGGGTTTCCTCTTCTATTTTTCCTTTGTCCCCAATTTTATGTCCTGCCATTTTTTTCTAGTTTTCACTCCTTCAGTACGTATTCCAGTCTTGTTGCACCATTTGATTTTTTCCGATTTTTTCATTATATTTCAAGATCGTGCTATCCAATCTGAATTTGTCTTAGTAACACGGATATCGGATATACTCAGCCAAAATAGAAAAAACTAAAACAAGAACATCAATATAGAAGTAAGATAGGCAATAAAGGAAACACTGAATGATAATTGGGGTCTACGTCTTATTAAGGATCAATGTCTTGTTCTAGAACAAAAAAAATGTCGTGATATAAAGTTTCCTTAATCGAATACAAATTATACGCGAGAATGCAAAATAACCACGATCGCAAAATTAATTCTGCCGACACACAAGAGAAAGGCTAAAATTTAGTATTTCATCCAAACGCAAGACTCCGTTACTAAATACAACTCCTAAAGATAGAATCGCGTGAATGCGTGTGTGTTCTATAAAAGATGAAAAAAAAAAGGGAGCTGCGACTGAAGAATCCGTCGTGAGTAAGTATGTTGCTGAGCGGACGTATATTTAAAATAGCTTCTACTGAGAAACAAGGCTGAGTCTAATTGGACTTTAATTTATCTGCGTCATAATCTTGGAGCCCTTCTCACTATGCTCGCTGGATGCGTTATTATTTTTATATTAAACATCCTGCTTGGAATCGAAATAAATGCTGTAAAGTGCACCTTTCTACTTTATTCTTTGCTTGATGATTACACAGATTCGCACTTTTTGCTTGTAATTATAATCGTTACTACAAAGGAATTTTTCAGGATTAGTTTCTATTAATTTAGTTTGACGTACCTAGTGTTTTAAAGGGCACACTACAATGCAATAAGAACTGCAAATTGTGTATTGAAATAAATCTAAATCAAGCTTTCATAATTTTAAATATTTCCTGCAGAATTCAATGAGAGTATCTTGCTCCTGTCAGCTATGCATGCCACAACTACGCCCATTTATATACTATTCAATAGCTCAAAAACGTAGAGTCAGTGGGTACCCATAAATCTTTTGAAAATTGATTGATGACATGAGTTTACGAAGCTAAAAACTTTTAACTGAGAAAAATGTGTTTCAAAATTT